TTTTTTTTTTCAGGCTTCTTCCTTCCACTTCAGCTTAAATTGGAAAATTTACTGCGATGATCATTCTTCACTTTCATCTACTACCGCAGTTCAAATATAAATTATTTCATATATACTTTACATCACTACTAGTTATGAACTCTTTTACTTACACTCAGGATTTCTTCAATTAGCTCTCTAGCGTTGTTGCATTGTTCCGTTGTCCCTCTCAAATGGGCGTGATTATCCTTTATGGATATCTGGACACCAGTTCTATCCCTTATCTCCTGCAGGGTCCTTCCTTTTCTTCCTATAACAAGTCCCACTTTGTCTTTAGGGATTAGTATGCGCTCTTCTTCACCACTGAGAGAACGAGATTTATTGCCTCTTGTGGCATTTCGTGAATATGACATGACTGTAAAGGAAACAAGAGATGAAATTACCATAAAATTTATCAAAGAAATTATGAGTTTTTCAGAGGCTTTTATGTGAAGGAATTTCTTGTCTAACTAAGTACCTACCTACCTACCCACCTACCTTCTCTCGACTTCTCATGCTTACATACCTACTTACTACCTTCTGACAAGCAGCTACAGGGATCCAGGACTACCTATCTACATTGTACCTTCCAAACCCAGCCAGACAGGTCACATTATCATAATAGTGTAGTTCCAGAAAATATCCATACGTCCCCCACGGAAGGGATTTTTCCTAAGACCCCCCACCCCTCGGGAAATTCCAGTTACGCTTTATACATTTCCTTAATTTTTTTTATCTTACAGAACCTCCCACCATTTCGTGAACAACACATTATCTCATTGATTGTACATATGATAATCGTTTTTACCTTTTAGCATAACATGTAATTATTTCAGATTGTATTTCATGATCTTGACTCATATATCTATTAAAAGTTTTATTCATCCATTATGATTTTTACATCTAATTTTAATTTCTGCAGAATACCTGCAAATTAGCTGGTGTCATTTTATCATGTGATGTCACACCTCACATATAGCTAAGTATTTTACACAATAAACTTGTATTGCATTGTATTACATTTTATTGTATTGCATTGCATTACATTGTATTGATTGCATTGTATTGTATTACATTGTATTGCATTATATTGCATTGCATTGCATTGTATTGTATTACACTGCTTTGCATTTTATTGAATTGTATTGAATTGCATTGCATTGCATTGTCACTTTAAACATACCATTTAACCCGCCTCACATTTATAACCACCCCTTCCATCCCTCTACCGTCCTCTGTGTGGAATCGGAATATGAATACTTTTCCGACTCCGTATTGAAATTTAATTGTATTATCATCTTAATTAAGTTTGTCTTAATCTATCCTGAATCACTGTTAAATTATTGCTTTCAGAATAACTTCATTTATGGTGGCTCACCCAGTATGGAGTCTTGGTTGGCTACTTTTATTCAAATAATTTTTCCTATTTTTGTTTCTGTTTGTATATTCGAGCGTTTCGTTTTTCGATTGTTTGAAATTCTTTTATTATTCTGCCCTGGATTGTAATAAATATAATAAATATCAAGCATCTTAGATAATTAAAAGTGCATTACAAACAAATCCGAAACAAAATATGGCTCGTAACTCGGGAAAATGCTCGGAAATTTCGGGACGAAGCCCGTTCACGTCCCAACACCGGCGACGCAGACAATCTTTACAACTGCAGCTAGCTCTTTCTTGTGAGCAAAGAATACGAATGACAAAGGAGGCCATCTGTAGGTGTTCTATATATTCGCTAAGCCGTCAATAGATTTTACCTCAGCTGTCGTATTCGCCTTAGAAACCAGAAATTTAGCAGGATTGCAGAATTGCACCCCGAAGCATACAGACGTACCTCTGTTTCAGGACGAGGCAAGCTTTTCTTCCGCTCACCACCAGAGTAAGAAGATATACCTACATGTAAGCCTTGCAAAATGGCGGCGGTGTGGCTGTCTGTGCTGCTTGTTTTGACAACATTGTTCGACGAAACGAAATACGTTTTCCGTGAAACCAACCAGCGAATGACTGCGGGATACGTGATTCCAAGAAACTGACCTTTGGCTTTACAGATTCCCAGAAAGATGAGCTCAAAAAGACGACAGTTTACCTGACCGGTAGGGGGATGGATGGAGTTGGAGAACAGGCATTTTTTTGCTCTTTGCAAACGACAAACCTCTCGTTTCTGTCAAGGGAAAGGAGCGCTAGCTCGACTATCCGTTAAATATAACGCTATATTCATTCAGAATTCTCACCAGAGAAAGAGATGAAACTTAAAAAATACGGAAAGTGTGGTACCCCTCCCCTAATGACAAGATGGAAGGCATACATATTTATATTCTTGAAATATTGATGGTATCGAACGTTTTTTAACGATGGCTACCGAAGAGGGTGGAAACATTGATTCTTTAGTGTCAATTATTTGCAAGGATGCTCTGGAACGCCGTAATTTCAAGAGTAAATGTGAGGAATTCTTAACAAAGGTGTCTGTCCCAGCTGGTTGGGAAGGCAATGCGTACAGACTTCACAAGGGAAACCCTACATACAGATACCGTAAAAAATGTTTGTCAGATTTTATTCACAAGAGGGTATCGGAGGGTTTTACAGTGAAGAGCGGTGCCAGTACAACAAAGCAATTTTTTGATGAACTCCAAGAATTCTCAGAGTCATCAGAGTCAGATGACAGTTTTTCTGAGTTTTGGAGTTCTGAACGCCCAGCATTAATTGATTTATTTGAGCAAAACATCAAGCTTTGTGGCCCAGTGGTGCGGAAATCTGACACAGAGCTCAAGGTGTCAGTCTTGATAAAAACAAGAGGTCGCAATAGACAAGATGACAATTTGTCTCTCACTGAACATGTTGTTGATCTCCAAAATGAATTTGAGGATGGTTATTGCATGAAAGTGGGAGACATTGTTGAAGTTACCAAGTGTAGGAGGAATAAGAGAGTTGCGTTTGAACCAGAAGTTATAAAGTAAGTGATTCGTGTAGCTACATGTAACATTAGTTTTTATTAAAGTCAGGTTATTGTACCACAGTCCAAGTAAGGACAGGATATTAGAGATGTAGATGAATCTAAACAGTTTCAAAAGTATCGGTGAAATTTGATGAAAATTCATCGTCTTAATGTCGCAAAATTTTATTCCACTGATTGCATGGCTATAGCAAGAATAAAATTCTTACCAAGATTTTATGTTGATTTTGTACAGTAAATGAATAGCCTCCCACAGGAACTTGAAATAAACAAATAAATTATCAAGTGCCTTGATTCGTCTGTCAGTAGCTGCACTGTATGTCCCTGTATTGGTCATTGATTGCCAATATCAAAGGTTGACTTTATTGATTGTATTATTGATCAATTCACTGATTGTCCATGCTGGAATTATATTCTTATCGAAACAGGTATTTCCTTTGGACAGACAGTGGCATAATTTTCAAAAATTAATAATTTTCAGTGCATAGTTAACTGGTACATGATATATGTACTATAAATATTGTTATCAGCTTGTTTAAGTTAACAATTTTTGTCTTTTTGGTCATAAGGTGTTACTCTCTTGATCAGAATGAAATGGACTCTTTTTTGGAACTTGTATTAAACTCTGTAGAGACTGAGGGCTCAACTGCTGCTGTGACTGAACTGTCAAGGTAATTTTGGTAACAACAGATTAAATTAAGAAAACATTTGTGTGAGTGTCACACGGTAAAGTATAAAGCTGTGGTAAAGTGACGGAAACTGTTAGCATCCACCAGTCAGCATTGCTTTTCTGTTTGCTATTGGCAATTTTATATTTGATTTAGGCTTTTAGCTGTGCATCATTGAGTTAACACTTGGAAAGTTTGGAAAGTGTTTTAGAAGCCATCATTGAGTTAAAACTTGGGAAGTTTGGAAAATGTTATAGAAGCTAGAGATGCCCTGATGGCAGAGTGTGCCTCAAGGAACTCTTACACTTTTCCAAACTTCCTATTTGTTCATCCCAAAACAATCATACATGCTAGACCATGAATTAACTTAAATTGCTAATAAATGTGTTTCCAGGTGCCATGCTGTATGGGATTACATCCTGGAACTTTCAGTAGAAAAATACACTCCAGAGATGGCCTTAAAGATTCTTTCAATCCTTGACAAGATTTGTTCTAGTGAGCAGAAACAAATGTCTCACACAGTCAGTAAAATAGTGAGAGGTTTTCAACAGAGTGTGTTCTTCACATTGTTCCTTCCTGGCTTTGTTGAGAACATGATTGAGGAAAGTAATATCAGGTAATTAACACTTATCACATTGCTAGAAATAATAATTTTAATTTTTATTATGTAGCAGGACATATGACTTGTCAAATCTCCATTTTAGCTGGTAATAAAAGCTCATAATTATTAGAAATTAAATAATTAATTACATTAATTGATAATTTTTACTACAGAGGTGTGGTGGTCTCATGGTAAGTGCACTCACCTCTGGATTGAGTGATCTCGGTTTGAGCCATAGCTGGGGATGTTGTGTTGTGTTCCTGGGCATGACACTATACTCTCACAGTGTCTCTCTCTACCCAGGTGTATAAATGGGTACCTGCAAATTTAAAGTGCAACTAACCCCCACTTTTTTTCCTTTAATGAAAACTTCTAGTTTTCTATATTACTTCAGCGAAAAAATTATCTCGATTGATAAAATCCCTGCGATTCTACAGGCATTTAAAGTTGTAATTTCTTGCCCCATGACCAAGCATGGTGGGATTTGGGTTGGGCCTCTTCTGACATCATCGAAGGACATTGCTCAAAACACTCAAGAGACATTTGTCTGGGTTTCAAGCGCTGTGAAAACATATTTGGGGTATTTGTTCTTCATATTTTATCAAAAATGGTCAAGACTTTTAAATGAAAGAACTGTATCATCTAGCAATACAATTCAGAGTCTAATCTTGATTAGCATGGCTACTATGTATAATTTATATTTTCTCGATTTCGAAGTGCGGGTTGCAAGTCGAGCCCACCACACTGCCAGTCACGATCAACAATTTGCCGGCCCTTTTGGCTTATAAAGGTTAAAACCATAGATGAAGAGTTAACTTACAACTATTGAGAAGTTATGAAAATGACAATGAACACGAATATATTCGCGGAAAAATTCGTCTTTTTTCGCTTAGTTATTGTCGACTGGCCGTATATATACAAAGTCAATTACTGAATTAGTTGTGCAGGAACATAAACATTGCGAGTTACACAAATTTGCATATTTCATTCTAGTAATCAAAAATCGTTCAACAAGATCTTGACAAAAGGTTTGGTTTGGTATAACTGAGTGCATTTCTTCTTCACTGTTCTTTTGTTTTAAGAGTCTTTTTTAGTACGCTAATAACCTGAGTGTTGCATTTCGGTTGAAAACAAGCACACTCTCCTTTCAGCGCTACAATCTCTGTCCGTAAAGTCAAATCTTTATGGTTTGTTTTACTTTCCGTATAATTATGTACTTATCAATGCTTGATTCGTCTTAAGTTTTTAGCTGGAACAGATATATCTCTTTGCTCAAAGAACAAAACAATTGTGTATGTGAAAGGGCCTTTGAGAAACTCAGCTGCATTGTTGACTTTGTGCGTGTAGCTTGCGTGTGGTTGTATATAAAATCCAAAAATACATAGCTAGTTCAGCAGATTGAAGCCTCACTAATCTTAATCACTTCATTGTAGGATGTACGTGTCATTGACTATTCGATTACAATACTCTCTATTTCGAGGGCCAAAAACGCAATGCAATTGATTTTCCATATATTTATCTCACCTAGTTTTCATTGTTTTGGTCTGCAACTCTGGGGCTTGTTCTGATAGAATAGTCAGATGGCTCTCAGCTTATCCCAAATTCCTGTCTTATCTACCCTGACAATATCGAGCTTTGCACTAGAAGCTAGAGTATAATACACAGGCCATGAAAATATCTAGGTTTTTACAATAGTGGCGAACCCAAGATCGAAGAACTGCTCAATGGCTCCCTGTTTCAGTCCAACTTTGCACAAGTCAGCACACGTACACTTCTTTCGTCTTTATCTTGTTTCTGGACGAGTGCCATTGATGCAGAGGTATTGAAGAAAGAGGATAGCTCTCTCCTGAGCTTGCTGCACTGCTACTCCCTCCAACAACACATGTACTTTGCATTCTGCAACGATTTTGAATCACACTATCGCATTCTCCTCATAAGCAAAACATTGTTAGTCCTTCCATGACGTCACAGGCCAACTCACTTGGCTATGGGGCGCGGAAACGGCCAATTTTAGGAACTTTCAAAAATCATAGGAAATTAACGAATCAAAATAGCTGCAACGATAATTTTTTAACAGAGGTGATCAGAAAAACAAGGAGATTTATAGAAGCAAGAAAATTTGGGGAGTTAGTTGAACTTTAATGCTAGGGAGTAACCCTGTGGTGGACTAGCATCCCATCCACGGCAGAGTAGAAAATTAATGTTCCTAGTCGCTTCATGCTACTGAAACTGGAGATAAGCGCTGGCCTGATCAGGGCCACTTGGCTCATATGCAGACTATAACTACCAAACCTTACTTTTTAGTGTAGTTCAGAGTATTCTGGAACATGTGGTTAGTGCTGTTCCTGCTTCTGGTCCAAAAGTGTTACCATTGGCAAAAGTTCTTTCTCAGAACTTGGTGGATGGATCGTGTGATTTACAAACAGCAAAAAGAAATGGACAATCAATCATTGGTTTTTTATCAAAGTTGTCATCAATCATCGCATTAAATGTGCCTGAAGCTTTAGAAGATCTTCAGTCCCTGCAGTGGAAGGATCTTCCCTTGATACCAGTTGTAGATGAGATTCACAAGCCAAGTAAGTTTCAACAGAACAATGAAGCTAGTAAGAGCCTTGGGCTGGGCAGTGCTAGGCAGGGTTTGAACCCTACCTTGGTTACTCTTTTGTGTTCTTGGGCAAGACACTACTCTTGCAGTACCTGTCTAGATGTGCCCTGACAGTGTATTAATGGGTGTACTGTACTCTGTCGGGTGAAATGTTGGAGCAATTCTCACAGAATGCTAGGGACTCATGTGCAATGGGCTGTAGCTCTGATTAGGAGTACCGTATATGGTGTACTGAGGATTATTGTTCTGAGTGGCGTCATGCTTTTGGTCACTTCATGAATCACATGAGCCTCTACTCATAAAGAACTTATTTCTAAGTTGTTCATATGTGAGTGGGGTGAGCCCTTCTGGTCTTTGTGTTTTTCAACATGATGTGAATGACTGTTACAGTTTACCTTCTTATAGTTCTCTGCCTGGGATTTTGCCAGTCAATGATATCAGATTCAAGGACAGCAGAGTTCTGGAAAAGCTCTAGAAGATCATTACAATAACTTTTGTTTAATATAACCATTTTTACAGGAGTTCTAAAGTGCTCCATGTGGTTATTATTCATTCTTTTTAGGGGTGACCACAGATGACTTGCCAGTGATTAGAGAACAGGGAAAGTATTTAACAGAAGACGAATACTTCAATACTAACTTCAGACTTCTTAGAGAGGAGTGCTTTTACAAGCTACGGAAGGGAATCCATGATTTTGTTACTCCTGGAAACAAGTGCGATTTTAGAGAGATGATGATGTACAGGTTATAATTTAATTTTATAGCTTAATATTAAATGGTAATTATATTATTGCTGACATTTATACATGTAGTGTATTAAACTCTTTATTAGTTATCGCATGTTTCATGAGATATAACTGTTCAGATGCTTCTCCTGGGAGCAGACACTTTTTCTGTCCTTGACAACTGTTTTTCTGTCATCTACAGTGTACCTATGGGAGCTTGACCATTGTAGTACCCTACTCGTTTCCTTTTTGTGTTGAAGTTTGAATGTTATTTCATCAAACCATCTTGTATTAATGATTTTCTATTAACAGGATTTCTCTGGGAGGGGTGTCCACTTGCCATGAAAAGTCTCCAACTGCAATGTTGCTTTCACTGAAATATGAAGTGCCTGATAATATCGAGTGGGAGTAAGTAGTTATGAAACTTTCCAGTAAAAAAATAATAATTAAATTTATGTATATTAATATATAGTTCTATAGTAACATGACTTTTTTGTATGAATATATATTATATAGAATATAAAATATATACTAGTTAGCTATATTAATATATATATTTTCCATTGTTTCAGCTTTCTAATTAAAGGTACATGTAGAGGCAACTTGAGGCAATTTGTTAATTTCAAACTAAACTGAAGGACACATGTCAAATTTGAGGAAAATTTTGAGTATGAAAAAAAATGTAGCATACATTGTATAATTGTAGTGTTAGCCCGTGCCCTTCAATTACTCTGTATCTTACATGTATGCCATTTTTAAATTGTACATACATTAGACTACCAGTACGAGATTTTGTGGAGGTGTGGTGGCCTCATGCTTAGTGCGCTTGACTGATCTGGATTGTGCGATCTGAGTTCGAGCCCTAGCTGGGGACCTTGTGTTGTGTTCTTGGGCAAGACACGGTACACTTAAAGTGCCTCTCTCCACCCAGGTGTATAGATGGGTACTGGCAATCTTAATGCTGGGGATAACCCTGTGATGGACTTGCATCCCATCCAGGGGTGTGTAGAAATACCTCTTTTCGCTTCATGTTACAGAAACCGCAATAAGATCCAGCCTGATGGGCCAGTCTTGGCTCGTATGCAGACTTTACATGTACCTTACCTTTAAGTGCATACATTGTTTAGTTATGTATGACAATGTTGGTAGTGAGTCCTTTTTGTGCACATCACATGATGGTATATGATGTATATGTGTTGGAATTATCAGACATATTTTCTCTGCAGATTACACAATGCATATTTTCAGAATTTTAACTGCAGTGTCCAAAATGGACATTATTTTTTGTCTATATAATCTTGAATGCTTTTGATGTTCTGTGTGCTTAGATACTGTACTGAAAACAGTCATGAGGACATTTTGAGATAACCCTTCCATCAATGGTTATTGTCACTTTCAAGCTGCAGTCACCAGGCCTTAAAATACATGTCCTGTATGCTCAACTTGCTTAGTACAGTATTTAAACCTTAAAAACGAAAACATTTTAAGGCCTTAAAAGATTGTTGGTTACATAGTATTTACAGATTTAAAGTATGTTAAAGCTTATCCTTTAGTTTGATTATTACTTAAATGAAATTTAACTCATCCAGGCCAGACAATTGGCTACTCTTTGGAGATCTCCTGTGTATCTCAATTGATGGATCTTTTCAAGAACCTGTTTGGGCTGTGGTGGAAAAGCACATTGCTAAACAATGGTTGGTTGTTATTGTTTGCCCCCTTTCTCTCTTAGTATAATTTTTCAGTTAGTTTTTTTAAATTTTAAAATTGTGTTTCTTTTTTGGGGGGGAGGGAGGGGGGAGGAGGAGGAGGGGGGTGTTTAAAAGTCAGTTGAAAACTGTATGCTGTAGATGAGAAGTCTTTTGGACAACCCCGTAGCATAGTTACATGTATCAGAGAGAAATGGTCATGAGACCCGACAAAGTTCTTTGTTACAAGTGTGTTTTTGTTCATTTTTTGGCTATGCACAAAACATAACTGGACTGGACTGGGTTTCGGTTACTAGAACTATGTATCAACTCGTGCATAGTGTACATGAATGAGCCCAGGGTATGAGCACAAAACATTAAAGACTGGACTATAGATAATAATATTATTGTTGAACATTGTCCTTCAGTAGCATCTCAAGTAACAAAACAGTAGCAAAAGTTCAAATGAGGCCTGAAACTACTGTAAAATTGATATGTTAAAATCGTTTTGTGGCATAAAAATCTTTTTATTGTGTTAAAATCTTTTTACAGTAGTTTCAGGCCAGCTACTTTGAACTTTTGTCAGTTTTGTTAATGAAAAGATTGTGCACAGTCGTGGACCTTCCAACATAAATCAGGCTATTGTTGTTGGCTCCTTTGATGTTTGGCAGGCTTCATAACCATTCCTTTTGATTAACTATGCCTTAATAGCAAGGCATTTTTATTGGAAGATTAGAAGAGAGTCCAGTGTTCACACCTGGTCTGATGCTATAATGATGTTTATCTTTCAACTCTTAGTAACATTTAAAAATAGAGTATCGGTAGTCAGGAGCTAACATTGTAAGATAATGGTTTGACACTGACTATTATTTTTCATTTTGGATTCATGACAACTTGATCAGACACTTCATCTTCACCTCGCATTAATGTTTGAACTTCAGGATTGTAAGGATCAGTCTTTGTGACAAAGCAAACAAGCTATCTGAAGCAGAGTTTATTGCAAAGATGCAGGAGATTACACACAGAAGTAAGTATAGTCACCTATTCTTTAGCAATGTAGCTATCTGAAGTGTATCATGCTCTGTTGTCTGTAAGAAACAAATACTTCTGTAATAACTAGGGTACCAGCCGAAAGCACTTCATCCAGAGTCCAGTCATTGAACCTTAGCTCGCTGGCCACCATGCTTCCCCCTGGGGAAGGGCGCAGTAGTAACATTCTAAGATTCTGCCGGCATGCTATGGAAGTTGGAATCATTACGTGCCAGTCTAGTAAGCTACTTAGGCTTCCAGTAACACTTAATTCTTTTTTTTTATTATTTATTTTATTATTTTATTGCAAAACACAAAGTTACTTACGTTGTACTTACTCTACTTACAATATGACACTTAATCCTTATTCTACTTACGATACAATATGATACAATACAACACAACACAATACAACGCAACGCAATGCAACGCAACGCAACGCAATGCAAGGCAACGCAACGCAACGCAACACAACACAATACAACGTTTTAATCTACCACTTACACTATTTACCATGTAACTCTTACATTACAAGGATAAAACTTAATTCTTAAGACTTAATTCTTACTCCAGACAGAACAAGGCATGTATCTTCAGTACAAAATTGTCACATTAATTTTGTAAAATTATGCTGTGTTATCTCTACTAGATGAAAGAGCATTCATGGCAGAGAGCCAAACCTTCTACCTTGCCTTTGCTCCAGCCATGGAAGTTTTACAGCACAAAGGTTCAATTATCCCTTGTATATTAAATTTATGAATGGATATAGATCATTACTTCAACAGTTTTTAGTGCAGAGTGCATTATTGGGATGGTTTAGGGGGCTGCTGTCCGTTAAGGCACTAACACCATAAGGTGTAAACTTTAATGTTTGTATAATTAATCATTGAGCCTTGAGGAAAGGGGGGCACGGTTGGGTAGGTACCTGAGTGCATTATGCAAAATGTGTCAGTATATACCACACAAGTGAATGATACTTTTTGCGCATGCTGATTAGCTAGCTTGGAGGTGATTAGCCAAGTACTATTCACCTCCAAGCACCCAAAGAAAAACAAAATGGCTTCCTGTTTCAAATAAAGTTACTCTTAAACAAATTAAGTTACTCTTTGGTGTGGTAGTTATTCAGCTTGTGTGGTGTATACTAAAACAACTATTCACCTCAGTGTTGGTGAAAGTGGTGGATATTTACCTCCACTTCGGTGAATAATTGTTAATTATACTTCCGTTGCTTATTAGAAAACATGGCAAAACTATATTTTTTATCACGAATCTTGTGCTATTCTTGTGGTGCTATTATCTTAAGATTGAAAGCAATTTGCTCAAAACACCTGTGCAGATTAGTTAGCATCAGTGTCAACTATATGGTAGGTGAGAGGTACTTTTCATGCAGGGTCACACACAAACGTAGAGTGGTTTTTCTTGTGGTAGAACACAACATGTAAGATGCTTTTGTTCTAGCATTCTCGAGTTCAGATCTGCATGTTTTTTTTGAGTGATACGACACTCTGGTTTTGACCAGGGATAACAACTATAATAAATTTCAGGTAGCATCAGTGATTCCTTTTTTAGTGGAAAGAATGCTACACTGTGACTGGATATCTTCTGGAATCACTACTCTGCTGTTTTATAACTATTGTGTGTTTGCCAGGATTCAAATAAAGAATGGAAACATATTGCTTCTCCTTACCAGCTTGCTTATTTCCTCTTCTGTGAGGGGAACAAAAAGTTCATATTCAGCCAAAACTTTCCTACATTAGTTACATGTTAAACTAGTAAATTTGTGGGAGAAGAAACTTTGCAATTATTGCCTCCGTCTCTGTGGCACTTACTGAAACTGCCATTAAATTGCATCAGTCTTTGAGATGACTCAGTCACCAATGAAGGATATAAATTTCGACCGAGTAACAATCTCTACCTTCAATACTTCGTGTTGAAATGCTTTTCCGTTGTATTAATCAATTACATTGTGTATTGGATTGATGTGAATAAGAATGCACTATTCAGTGACTCGATGTGACTACATGTATTTTATAATTAGATTAGTTCTTGTTTATTGGAGAAATGAAAAGTTCCATTTTGAATAAACCAACATTGTTCCTCTTCAGATTTTCATCAGATATTTAACATCAGATTTTTAAATTATCATTAAATGTCATACGCTTTTTAAAATAAAAAAAAGTAATGTCTTAAGCCGTCTTTTAAGAGAGTTTAAGTTTGGTGCCATCTGGATATGATTTGGAAGCTTGTTCCACTGACCCAGCATGGGCAAATGCATGATCACCAAAGGTCTTAAACTTTGTTCAAGGTACTACTAACAAAGGAAGATCATTTGATCGCAGGGAGGTTCTTATACATGTATGTGTAGTTCTATATCAGTGTAAGTCATAGGAACACCTTTAAAATTACTGACAGTAAAGTTTTAAATATACAACTCCACCATACTATAAACTGTCGAAAAGAAAATTGTTCATGAACTCCACCAAAAGAGAGCAGAATTACATGTATTTCTCTGCTAGCAAAGTAACCTCATGGTTAGTGCGCATGTCTCCAGATCGAGTGGTCCAGGTTCGAAGCCTGGCCCGGGACATTGTGTTTTGTTCTTGGGCAAGACACTTTACTCTCACAGTGCCTCTCTCCACCCAGGTGTATAAATGGGTATACCGGTGAACTTAATGCTGGGGGTAACCCTGCGATGGACCAGCATCCCATCCAGGGGGAGTAGAAATACTCTTAGTTGCTTCATGCTACGGAAACCGGGATAAGCTCTGCCTGATGGACCTGACTTGGCTTGTATGCAGACTTTTTTTACACTTTGTTTTGTGTTGTTTTCAGATCATGTTCCATTCAAGGAATTCTTGGTTTATCCAAACCCAGATTACATGGAGCCAGCAGAATACATCAATGAAATCAAGAGCCCTCCTGATTGGGGTATCATTTTTGACAGAGACTCGCTGCTTTGTTACAAAGGAGAGTCTTCTAACTACTCACTCCTGAAGGACTTCGAAAGAATACGGCTAAACAGCAGTTGTAAATCCAAGCTTGATGAGACACAGCTTGCTGCAGTGGAGCTGGCATTAAAGAACAAGCTTGTGTTGATTCAGGTAAAATCCCAAAAGTATTATTTGAAAGTTTACATTCAGTATTGTGCAATACAATGTTAAGCATAGTGGAGCAAGGTTGGCACAGTGGTGATGAGAGCTCTTGGCTCCCACCAATGTGGACCAGGTTCGATTCCAACCCAGTGCCATATGTGGGTTGAGTTTGTTGTTGGTTCTCGCTTTACTCTGAGAGCTTTTTTCTAGGTTCTCTGCTTTTCCTCCCTCCGCAAAAACCAACATCTCCAAATTCCAACTCGACCAGGATATCTGAGGACCCGAATGAAAACCAGCTAAGGCTGATGTAGCTTCCTCTCTAAAAGATTGTGGTTTTAAGCTGTATATTGTCCAGTGAACAGACTAAGTTCCTTTTGAGGTATTTTTCCTAAGTGCCCATTGCTCTTCTTGGTGGCACACTGAGGCCACCAATGATGTCTCTCCACCTCCCCTGTCCTGAGCCAGCCTCTCCAGTTGCATCCAGGTATACACAATCGTCTTCATGTCACTTCTAAGATCCTGTTGCCAGGTGTTCCTTGGCCTGTCTCTCATCAGTTGATCTTGTAAATTCCATGGGAAGACTGCCAGTGAGGTACAGTCGAAACAAAGTCAGTGAACTGATTCAGAGGCTTGTATGGTATTTAACAATGTACTTTATGGATTTTTACAGTGGTTTGCTATGTTTGGTGGTTTTATTTTGTTCAGGGCCCTCCAGGAACTGGAAAATCGTTTGTGGGTGTGGCCCTAGTTCAACTTCTTTTGTCCATGAATGTACCACAGAATCATGGACCCATTCTGGTAAGATATGGACTTGTTGAGTGTACAAGAAATGTGCTTTTTAGATGCTCAAAACAACCAAATAGGCCCTTTGCACGATCCAGTCACATGGTACAGAATTAATTATGCTGGGATGCGAGTTACACAGTGGGATTTTTAAAACAAAGGAAAGTCAGGCTGGACTGGTACGAGTTCCTTTGTCTTAGAAGACCCACTGTGTAACTTGCGTCCCAGAATAATTATTTCCATGCCATGTGACCGGATTGTTTTAACATCGATGAACAGCCGTAAATCTCTTTTCCCGTGGACCCCTTGTCACTTGTATTAATTTCTCGGTGTACACACAGGCCTTTAGCCTTTCATGTCATAGAAAATAAAGTGGCTAGCATGATCAATGCAGTCCAAGATAGGAAGTTTGGGTGTAATATCTTCGAGTATACAATGGCTTTCCTGTCTTTTGATTGGCTTTATTTTTTATGGTATGGTATAAGTGGTGAATATAGAGTCAAATCACTGAAGGGATATTATACTCTCAAGAGTTTAACGTGTTGTCGCTTTGGTGATTAGATGTGTACCAAAGTTAGTAGAGAGAACACTAAACATCACTGTAGGTATATATGTTCAATATTATTTGTGAATGGTTTCCTCTCACTTTTGTTTTGGTGTGCCAATTGATTATTTACAGGTTGTGACTTATAAGAATTTTGCCTTAAACAATTTCTTATTGGATTGTATAAAGAAAGTCTCATCTCCTAATGTGAAGATTGTTCGTGTTGGCACTGTGGCTGAAGATGCTGATGGAAGGTTGAAGCAATGCTTGTTGAGAGAGGTCTGTTGGCTGATAAATCATGAATATAAACATAAAATACATTCTGCATTTACAAAATGTCCTGCAAACATACCTCACAATCCACTTTAGAACACTTGTAAACAGACGGTGTTTGCAGTACCACTACTGGTTTACTTGGGTGAACTTTTCCTGTCCATGGTGGCACCTCTGAATGAACCTATAAAGGAACGCCTGCCAAGGCACCCTTGCAAACTTGATTAATTGTGTATTTATATATGTACTCTAACTGTTAATAATTGTGTTTTTTTCTTTTTAAAGGTGGGACGTTCCAGGCCTGAACAATTCAGGCAAAAGAGAAAGCTGCTTGGAAGACTTTGGGGCATGCAATCTGAAGTCAGGAGAGCGTTCGAGAAGCTTAGATTTTCCAGCATTTTCAATGCAGATATGTTCTTGGAAGTATGAAGAATTGCATATATCCATCTCAACATATATCGTGTTTAAAATTCTTTATTTGAACCTCCCACTGACCTACGCATACTCCTTCAAAGCACGCACCTGATGTGAAATTCATTTTTTTTTAGCAAAAAAGATACATACATGTAATATCTAAGTATCCACTTCACACTGAGATGTTTCCAAATTGTGTCGCCATTTCAATTGCTTGTGCTTGCGGACAAATAAAGTGCGATTCCAACTGGATACTGCCCGATTGATAAATAGATAACACGGGTGTAGAGTTAAGTAGTTATTCAAGCATTTCAGAACATTTTTTTGTTGTGGTTGTTGTTGATATTGGTAATCCCTTTTAAGTTCTTTTTAGACATGGTATGCAGTTCTTCCGTGGACGTTACTCTCTTACCTTGATCTTCTCTTAACCTACTCATTTTATAAACAGCAATGTAAAGTCCTTGTTCATCTCGGGTTGAATGTCTAACTTTTGATTCAATTTTGTCGACAAGGAAGCTTCAGATGAGCAGACTAGAAGCCTTCTGGTGGATAATGAGAAGACGACAGTTGACAGAGCAGAAGTGGAGACTTTGCTTAAAGAGAAAGATCATAATTACAGTAGCAAGTCCCGTCTCAGAGGTGCACATTCATTAAAACTGTTTTATTTAAATTTCTCATTCCCTCTATGAGATGTGTCTGCAGGGAATCATGGTAGTTGTATTCATCAAAACAAATTTCCAGTCTAAGATGATGAATACAACTACAGTGTAACCCTGTCAATACAGTCACCAATGGGCCCATAATGTTTGGCCGTACCAAGGGGTGGCCGTATTAATGGGGTTGGGTCAAATTTCATGACTGGTCCAAATTTGGTAACGTCTTAACACAAGCTAACAGATATATCACAGTTGCACTTCTAAACAACTGTTTTTTTAATAAGCATCCGGAATACAGATATCATTTTCAAAAATCGAAACTTTAGCCACTACATACAATATGAGCAATGGAAAAATGAACATGACTGGTTTGAGTGGCCGTATGAACGGGGTAGAACTATGTAGAATTATACAGATTGGGGTTTCGGAATGTGGCCATTGGCCGTATTACCGGGGTGGCTAGCCTGCGAACCCAGACGTATTTCCGGCTGTTACTTTGTTCCGCGGTACCAAGTGATAGCCGGAAATACGTCTGCGTTCGCAGGCTATGGGCTGGCCACATTAAAGGGATTCTTTTATAAGAAAATGTATGGATGTTTCGCCGGGACAAAAGAAGCGGCCGTGATAACCAGGTGACCGTATTAACGAGGTGACCGTCAGGCGGGGTTACACTGTACCATGATTCCCTGCAGGCAAGTCTCAAAGAGGGAATTGGGAATTGGCTTTCTTCTTTTCATGGGGGACAGGTTTGACAGAAGGTCATAACCTCTGGGTTTTTAATAGTTTCCTTCGCAGCCTCTAGGNTTTTTGAGGCAGTAACTACCGTTTCTGCGTGGAAAGATATGAGAAAAAGCTACCATAAGTGTAGATTTTTTTAAAACTAAATGAGGAATGGTGATATGTCTTAATTTATTTTTTATATTAAAAGCATCAAAAAAATAAAAAATAACAATAAGAATAAAAACAGTAGAACTCAGAGACTCGTTGAATGCGTTAATTTTAGGTCTGTTGGTATTGCTAAACAAAAAAGCAAAGACGAGCAAGACCAGGAAAATCCCAACGACTTCAGGGACCCTTCTGTGGAGGAAAAAGAACGACTCCTTGCTGTTGACAAAGATGAAGAGGAAGAAGGATTCGTGAAAGAAGAAGTCACTGACTTGAAAAACGCTGTCAGTGGTGCGGAGATTTCGTCCCGCAGGCTGATTTGCGTCGATGAAACAAGTAAAGTGTTTATGCTGCTTTGTCATAACAATCCTACAAATCCTATAATTATGTTTTATATGTTGATCAATCGTACCCAGAGACTGCTTTTTTCTGGCCAGCAGTAGTACCAATACCAATTTTGAAAGTCCGTGATTCAAGGACTTTAGCTAAATGCTGATTGGTTGATAATCGAATATGAGCGCACTGCACATTCTAAAGTAATCGGTACTGGCCAGAGTTCTCGTCGTTGGTGCTGACCATAAGGAAAGCGGGCTCTTGGGACAAGAATAGATTTTGATCAGAGAGAAACGTTGTACTGATGGTCTAAAATTCCATCTTCACCAACTACGTGTAGTAGAATACAAATAATGCGTGGAATTAAGGAGTACAGTTGTTAGCAGGTTTTCTATAGTCTTCTTACTCGCTTTGACTATAGGACAGCATGAAACACCACAAAAGTGATTAAATCGTTGGATAATGAATTAGTCTTTGACAGACATTTTAGTTTGTAGTAGTATCCCTTTACATTTGTACTTGTTATTTGTAATTTGACTCGCGCAGATGATTTTCCAAAATACTGATTTTCCAAAAGACTCGAAGTAAAAATTTACTACATTCTGGTCAGCCTGAAGAGCACTCTGGTTAGTGATTTACTGATTTATCTTACCCAGTTCCTAGGCCTCGATATTTTTCCTCGGTCAGTCGTTTTCGGGTCACGTGGTCCGAGGCCCTTCGTCCTGGATATGTCACCGAAATCAATGGGCCATTTCCGAGTTACCTTGTGCCTCTGTTTTAAAACGAGTCTTCGTGAAAAACCTTTCATATGAAAATGAGTTTGATTTGCATGAAAATGAGCCTGTAGGCGGAGCACATTTTCACATGAATGGCTTCACTCGAAGACTCGTTTTGACACAGAGGCAGAAGCCAACTCAGAGGTGGCCTAATGACCGTGAAGGCCTGGGAGAAAGCCGCACATTAACTAGGCAATGATTTATCTTTAAGATAGATAACATTAGATCTCAGCCTTTGTGACAATCGGGGCTGAAAAGCGTCCTTCAGGGTTTGTCAGTATAATTTGTATTGTATCGTATTGTATGACATTCTAGACCTCTGTGTGAGCGCCATCACTGGTATAAAATGTAGAATACAATTTTTCTTTATAGAGGTGAAGCCTCATAAAAATCTCTTGGACGCTGTTAAAGTGTGGGAGCTTGATGAAAATGAAAAAGTCCAGCTTGTTTACGTTTTCCAAAGCAGGAACTATAAGAAGGCCAGTCGTGACTTCCTAGATGTCAGCAGCGAGTACACGGAGGTATGGGAACATGCCTTATGTTTGTCACTTTGAAAATTTGCGAGAAATTTGTCTTAGAAATTGCTTCCTTTTTGGTGTCCTTTGCAGCCGTATTGAACACCTCTCTCCCAAAAAGAGTCGCGTGACACAGCGTTGCGTGACGGTTGCCAAGGAGCAAGGTTTCTCTTGACTTATCCAGTAAGAGTCGGAGAAACGCAGTACAGCGTTTGTACATATCTGGATAGTGACACTTTGTTTCATTCACCAACAGATACATCATCAGTTTAAGGAGCTGAGAAATCATCACGACATTGAAGTCATGAAAAGATGCGATGTTATCGGTATGACTGTGACTGGTGCCACAATAAGAGCAAACATACTAGGTAACTTAGAATACGAGTATTTCTTGTGTCTTTTGTGGTGACTATATTGTCTGTTTGTCTCTGGATCAGGCGCTCTGAGTTAGAACTCTAGCCTGTTGTGTCCTTAGGCAAGATACTGAACTCTTACAGTGCCTCTTTCCGCCCAGGGGTGTAATTGGGTACGAATGAATCAAATACTTGGGGATAACCTTGCGACAGACTAGCATCCCTTCCAGGGGGTGTAGAAATACTCTAATACTCTTAGAGATTAGATTTTTTAGATTTTGACCATAAGCCTATGTGGGTATAGGGCCAGACTCTAATACTCTTACTCTATAATAATTCCTTCCGATAATAACCCATAATATCCCAATCTCAGGGCCTACCGGAATTTCATAGTATTTGACCATTATCGTTAAGACTTCGATTAGTTCCTCTGTGATATAGTCCTATGAACGCTTAACACAAGCAAATGGAAGAATTCCTTGTGGAGGAGTTTGAACGAGTGCTAGTAGGCTTTGACAAGCTCTTTGTTCAGGAACAGATTCGGTAGAAAGATCAGCGATCTACGGGAGAGGGTGGGATGTGAGGGGTATTTGTTCTTTTCAACCAACCCCCAACTAAGGAAACTGTTCACAGGCAAATTAAGGGAGCTCTGATGCTGGCACAACTATCTAAGGTGTTTGTTGGTGGCGTACTTGTGTACGTGTAATTGGTCACGCCTAAGTTTCATGGAGATTATTTCCGCTTAACATATATTCATTCAGAAAATGTCCTAAATAGAGATCATGAGAAGTTTTACTTGCTCGTGTCTCTCTTCACGTAGAAACGTAATTTCTTTGCAGCCGACATAAAACCTGCTGTTATGATTGTGGAAGAAGCTGCTGAAATCCTTGAAGGACAGCTTGTGGCCGTTATACCACCCTCTGTACAGCACCTTATCATGATTGGCGATCACAAACAGCTGAAACCTGTAGTGCACTTCCACAGACTCAGGAAACACCATCATCTCGACCTGTCTATGTTCGAGAGACTTGTCAACTGCAAGATCCCTCACAAACAACTTGGGTTCCAGTGTCGAATGAGAGATGAGATTGTTGACTTGCTTCGAGAGCTCAAGATTTACAGCGATCTTAAGACAAATCCTAAGGTAATGTCCATGGTTAAAGTCTCTTCTTAGGTATTTGGGGTGTTTATGATGACTAAACAGCAAAAATGAAAAAAAAAAAAAAAGCAAGTGCCTCGGTTAGCCTGTTACTACCTACGACACTGATTATGCACTAGTCAGTTGTTTCCCCCACCTGCGCAAGGGTTCTATGAAAAAGTTTCCACATCCAGGGACTCTATGAAAATGTTCCCACGCCCAGGGATTCTGTGGAAAGGTTCCTACCCTCAATGTTTCCTGTCTAGTTATTGCAGTTTCTTCTTTAGTGTCTCTAGTTAACATGACAGGGGAATTTGTTTTTGGGTTTCTTATAATAACTCTTACTTAGATTTAGCAAAACCTTTGTACTATTAAGTCCTTAGCAAAGCCTATGACCTTGAACTTGTCAAATGTAGGAAATGGTCGTTTACCAAAATGGCTCTAGAAAGAGTATAACAGCGTGACGAAACTTGTGACACTGACTTTGATGTTTAAGTTCGAGATTTTATGACAGTTTGAAAGCTGAAAATTGGCCAATTTTTTAAACAACTCCTCTTAGGTTTTTAAGACGTTTCAACTACAACGATAATAGTTTACATTAAAGTCAGTATTCTGAAAATTGGTGATCTCACTAATTTGAATAACAATGTCACTTGTCAAGGTCAAATAAAGGGTTAATTCTCTCAGAGACCGCGGTCCTTTTGGTTAGCAGCAAGAATCGCGATCTCTGAGCATGCGCAGAGTGTTTGTCTCGTATTCCATCGCGGTTTCTGGGAATGAGGATGACAAAGGGTTTTGATCTGTCAGACTGACATTCGCATTGCAACTGCATGTTTTTATGTGTCTTTATGTTCCAGCTGGTCGAAGGCAATGTTTTTCCAGCTTGTGTTGAATCCAGCATGTACTTCTGGACTCACACAACTTGGGAAAGTGAATCAAGCGAAACGTCCAAGCGAAACACTCGAGAGGCCAGAGAGATCACGGAAGTTGCAACAACATTCTGTGTAAAGGGTGGAGTTCCGCCATCAAAGATTACAGTTCTCTGCTCTTATCGTGGACAGGCAAGTTCATACACCTGATGTTGTAGAATGTGTATCATGCTAAGCTGCGAATACTCGCTATGAATCGCTATTTAAATTTGGGAAAAATAAAAAAAAAGAAACACACAGAGTTGTTCCCTGTTGTACTTTAGTCAAATAATCTTGCTTCAACTCAGATACCTCTTACTGAGACGAGCTAAGTCTAATGTCACTTTCCCAATTAAGGAAGTTATTGAAATAGGGTGCCTAAAAGGGGAGGGGTGGGGGAGCTTATTGCAAAGGGGTCGCTTACTGGAATTAGGGCGCGAAATCGAATCACTATGGTAATCCGTGTCTGTTAACTAACTAGGTCCTGGAAATAAGGAAGCAATTTGGAAATTCAAATGTTTCAGCTCTCGCAGATATAGTCGTCACCACAATTGACAGTTTTCAGGTATGTGAACCTTTTCATTTCCATAGAAAATAGTTTGACTTTCAAAGGTGGTAAAGAAAATGTTATGGCATTAATCCATGTATGATTTGTCGTGTTTGAAGTCTGACCATAAACGAAAGGTCGTTTTAGCGTGTTTACGCCTTTTGTTACCTTGCACAGAACATCACAAAATTAGGTTGTGGGAATAG